GTGCAGGATGCACTATGAGACACCAGAGCTGGCTCCCTGCCACCAGTTGGATATCCTGACCCCTGAGCTGCTGTACATGGCACCAGTTTGACCTGGCTCTTTCAACTGTTGTGTTATTAGCAATCCTTAGCCACACCTCTAACCGGGCACCAGAGGGGAAGGTGTCGGTGTAACCTGAGTAAAGGGCTACAACAGGGGTTAGTCCTCAGCTGGTTGTTCATTAATGATCCTCAAGGCCAAGATCTGCTTCTCCATTGCTTCATGCCTGGAATGGCATCTTTGCCGCAGGAGTCCCTCAAAGATGGGTGAGTTGTAAGGAAAGAAAATACGTTTTCCTGTTATGCCACTGAAGTTTTGTCTTGCTTTCCCACAGGCACCGCCTAGGACCCTTAGACCTCGCTTCAGGAAGAAAAGTACCTCATCCTCTGCCACTGAAACAATGTGAGTGCAATGAACCAATAGCACCAAGATCCACAGAATGTCTCTCTTCTGCCTTAAAGAGCTACTCGTTAATAATGTAGGAAACAGCAGTGGGATGGATGTGCTTTGATGTCCAGCGTTGTAGACATGGCCTTTCTCTCTCCCCTCTCCATATCCCTCTGTGCCACGCTGCTCCTGTTGGTCCGTGACGTGGGTAGGACAGTCTGGCACACACCTGCAGGTGAGGGGTCCTGGTTTGGTTTGCAGAGTGTGCCCCCACCCACGCTGTACCTTCGTGATTTCATTTGTGTCTGCATAGCTCTTGCTCTGTGAATGCACAGCAGAAGCAACAATAATCAGTTACTCACGATGATACATTGACAGTGTATTTATTTATGGCTTTATCATTGATGAAGTGGATTTGCAGAACCTGTGGATTTCTCTTTCCTCCCTTCCTCCTCAAGACTGTGAATGATGTAACAAATGTCAAAGTACTTTGACTGTACAAAATGTCCAAGATTCGTTAGCGAAAGCTGAGCTGCAACTGCGATTCTGTTTCTGCAAGTAAATCACATGTTCTGAGAAAATCATTGTGCTAAACCCATAGAGACAGAACCACTTACAGAGGATGAGGAAGAGATGTGCAAGAGAAAATAAATAGTTTCAACGATGTAATGAAGGAGGAGTCTTAATTTTGATCAGCCTGAGCCAGGAGAGTATTTTGTGGAAAACAATGGCGGGTAGAAGAACTAGATCCCACTGCTTGTGGCCAATGTTCTACTGCCAGTTTTAAAGTGTGAGCAAGCCAGGCATGTGCCAGCTGCAGCCACAGAAGTTAGAATTGCTTTAGTGATGCATTTCCAGGGGAAAACAAACCTTTCTCCCCTGCTGCAACAGTGCCATTCTCAGCACTCTGCTCTCCTGGTGAGGGGCTGCTGTTCTGCTTGCATGAGCAGAGGAGGGCGCTGGGTCTGAGCTGGTTTTTAAAGCCTGGAGTTTCTCCTGTAGCATGGAGTTTGGTTAGAACCACGAGAACCAGATGGAGTGGTGTATTTGTATCCATATATAAATGAGACATATAAAAGGAAGAGGAAGACGTGGTAGGGTTTGTGTATTTGTGCTTCAAGTTGGTGTCTCTTGTGAGTGTTAAGCATGTGAGATTCACACATAATTTAATTACGTGGCCCTTTGTGTTTGCTCTTGAACCTGTCACATAGACTAGAAAAACATTTAGCATTATGTTAGGACGTGCCATCACCAGTGGATCAGCACACGGGCTCTGTGGTGAACACTGCTCATGTAGGTCAGGTGTTGCAGCCCAGGATGGAGTGTGTCAGGCTCAGAGAGAACTCTGAAGTGGCCTTTGAAACCTTTCCTGTCCAATGGGTCCCTGAGGTCTCCCCCACAGCTTCCTACACATGTGGGGAAGAAAGGAAGAAACTAATTACGTGCACACACAAATGTGTATCTGACCTGGCTGGGAAATGGAAAAAACAAGCAGGTATTTCCTGTGTCTGCCACAGTATTTGGCCTCATTACCTGAGAATTTTGTTTCCTTTACATATGCTGATTCAGTCATATTTTGCAATGTGCAAGAAGGAAAAATTCTTCAAAAAGTAAACCAACAAAACTGTCTAAATAGCAGTTACAGAAGAGTCAATCCTTGGAAGATACTCAGCAAAAGCTTTGAGGAGCTAAGCTTGTGTATTTTGTTTTTAAGCGGCTTTAGAGTTTATTTGATTTCTTTTGGCAAACATTAAAAATAAATAGAAAAACTGCCTGCACTGTTAGCAGAAAATAAAATCCTGTTGCAAGCAAGCCATGTTTCCCTGCTATGCAATGGGCTGCTGTAAGATAAAAAAAAGAAGCTGACAAGTTTGCACTCAATTATGCCAAATAACCCCAACAACATAGAGCTGCAAAACATCTGACAAGTTCTAATCTCAGACACACTGTATTAACATTGATTCTCACTAAAACTATTAAATGTGCGTCTAATCTGCTGTTTTACTGTAAACTTGACTGTTTAGCATTTCTTAAGTGCTGAGGTGAAATGTTGACAAGGGAGTTGCCTTATATCTCTCAAAACATTCACTGTATAAATGAGAAAAATAAACCTTTTCATATCTCTGGCAAAAATGTATCAGTTTATCAGTGGAGCTGTATATTTGTGTATAGACAGACAGACATGTCAATGCCTGACCACGTGCACTTGTGCTCTCGTGTTCTGTACAGACGAGAACGGCCACTCGCTTTTGATTCCTCACCTTCCTCACACAGGTTGTTTACAGGTCTTTCCCCAAGTCTGTCATTTCACCCGTTGGCTACGAGAATAAACAACACCAGTGAAGTCTTTTGTTCCAGTTTTTCTCTGGATCCTCTGCCAAGGAACAAGCCCGATTCCAGCGAGTCGCCTTCCTGTGCTGCTGCTGACCCCTCCTGGCACACCGGGGTGTGCAGGACCCGGCAAGGAGAGGACGCAGGGATGGATGGATGGATGGATGGACGGAAGGGGGCAGCCGTTCTTAGCTCCCTCCCAGCTCCAGCTCTGAGGGTGCAAGGCCAGCTGACAACTTCCAGATCTCTCCTCCTAAAATCAAGCAATCTTTCATCAGATGGTTTAAAATAGCAACAGATCTGGGTTAGGTAAAACCAGCCCAGTTTTGGGACCTTTCAGGCAGCTGGGCCCTACCATCAGTCCTGTAGGGCAGGCACCTCCTGATGTCTCAGGGAGGGCCGAGAGAGTGGAACCCTGAAGGGAAGAGGCCAGCCCATGGAAACAGCCTTTGCCCAGCTCAAGGCTCCAGTGAAATAAATGCGCATTATTTTGAGCACGTAAAATTGAGGCTGAGGGGAAGGAAAGTGCAGCTGAAGATGGTCTGTGGTAAACAGGCCTGTGAATTACCTCACCAATTTACCATAAATCCACTTAGTTATGAAGAGAATAACCTCAGAGCAGCCCAGTGCAGCCCTCAGTGCCTCCTCTCCTGCCACGGGGGCCAGTGTCAGCGCAGCTCCAGCGGTTGCCAGCTGCTGAATCGGGATCACATCTAACACAAGGCACACTTCTCGTGTGTTCCTGTCACCCTGGAATGAATCCCGCACTAACCTAAATTATAGAAGTGGAAACCCAGCACAGAAGGAATCAGGTAATTTATTCCTGCCAGGAGGGGAAAAAGCTGCTTGGAGAGAGATGATGCTCCTCCTGTAAACAACCTGCTGCCCCTGGCTGCTCTCTGACGCGTCCCCATGTCGTGATGAACCCTCGTGACCGAATGCTCGTTACCCACAGTCTCCTTTTTGCTGTTAGTTTCGGGTCCCCTTTTTGCATCCAGCACCGTATTTGAACTAGCAGAGAACACTACGTTGGGATTTGCGTTTAGACAAACTATTTAAGGCTCATTAATTGTGCACTTGGTGTGATTTTCTTTCCTGTGATGGGTAGAAAAGGTCTGTGATGCAGTGGTACACACTTGATGCCTCACAAGGACAACAGTATTCCAAAGGTTGATGTTTTGCTGGTTTTGTTATACTGCTTGATATACATCTTGAATAAAGTCTTAATCTTTTCTTTATTAAAAAAAAACAAAAACAAAAACAAAACATCTTTAGTCTGTTCAATGTATCTGGCAGGCCAGAATAATTCCTTTGATTGCTGTATTATTTTTATCTCGATTCTGGCTGACTGTATATAGATGTATTCACTAAGTGCTGCATGTCCTCCAGAACTTTCTGTATTATGAACTGGAAAAAGAACAAAATACAGCTACTGAACACTCTGAGTAATTAGTGAATTCATTGAAATGCTACAGCCTTGTACAGCAAACCACCTCTTGCTACACAGGCAGCTCTGGGGCTGATAACCAGGGACTGTCTGCTCAATAATGGTTTAATTATCAGTCAGTGTTTTGAAGCAAATGCTTTTCATACACTTTCTGCAAGTAAATCTCTGATGTATCCTGTAGCAAAACCGGTCTAGTTTCTCTGCACACTCCAAAAGGACCCTCTAATAAACCCTTGGGTTTGTTCCATTTATATGTGACCAGGAATATGAAGTCTGAGGTGTAGTTAGGCTTAAAGAAAGAATAAACAAGAAAATACTCATATTTGCCTGCTTGAGGATGTCGTGCAGGACCCAAAGAATATATTCTACTACTCAAAAGCCTACACAGGACACAAAATGTGAGTCCTGTAATGAAATTTGGTGGCCAATGCATTTTAAAATGAGTTACAAAAACTGCATGTAGCCATGAAACTCTGGGGTTTGAGCTTTTCTTTCTATGCTCTTCTAGTAGCATGGACACATGGCAAGTTTATCTAGTATCATGACAGGCAACAATGCTGAGATGGACCCTGCTCTCCTTTCTCCTCTTCCCCCAGGAGACTCCATTTAGTGAGACACCATCCGGTATGGACACAGCAAAAAAGATCCTGGGATTATTTAAAAATATTTCCTCAAAAAAATTTAAATATGTTGACTTACTCACTTTTAGTGTTACACACAATCATAGGAAACCACCAAAAATCAGAACACACAGGTGACCAGCCTGACCTTTGCTAAGTAAAACACAGACCACAGCTGAAGAGAATATTGGATGTTCCTTTATTTTGGGCATTGATTCCCATAATTCCGCTCAGATGATATGCACATGTTTATTTAGAAAAGTTACAGGCATTGGACATTTATGTTCCAACATTCAGAGCATGGCACACAACCACTTCCTCCTTCCTAGAGAGGGGCAAAAACCAACCTGAGGTTTCTACACCTGAAGATTCGTGCGATCCTGATACTTCTGGTAGGGATAATCAACGTACCAGTTCCTCCTTTTCCAGAAGGAAGTGGTCATTTTATCCAGGAGTTTACACTGTGTTCTGTTGCACAGCACGAACTCCCTCAGACGCTTCTTCTGGGAAGCCGACTTCTTCCACAGCTTCTTCTTGTAACCAGCCTGTCAGAAGAAAACACACACAGAGAAAAAAACAAGTTTTTAAGTAGGTCACTGCAAATACACACACAGGGCCACACTGCTCAGCACAGCACGATAAATCCCTCGCTTTCAGGCAAGTGGGAGTCTCTCTACAGAGCTTTTTTAACTTCCATACCAGCCACTGCCCTCCAAGGGAAGGAAAACAATTAGACTTTACACTGACTGTAAAGAACAGGTTCGTACTACCCAAAAAAGTCTCACCTTTCTCCTAACCCAGAGGCCGTTGTGCAGCCGGAGGAACCTTTTGACAACAGCTTTCACGCTTTTCCTCTTCCCCTTCCGTAGGCCGTAGTAGGTGAGAGTCCTCGCTGGCTGCTGGAGTATACTTGGAAGTAGAGGTGTGACACTAAAGAAAAAACAACCCCCAAAACAGGGGAAAAATAAAACAGGAATGAAACATCTTTTTCTAAAAGTAATCACTGCGCTTTTCACATAAAGAGAGATGAGAAGGGGCTGTGGCTTGCATGAAGGTTAACAAGGATTCATCTAACATTACAGCACAGCACCTGATGACTGAGGAACAGTAACTGCAGGGCTGGAGTCTTGCTAAAATTCAACTCAAAGTTATTGTTCCACACAGAACACCTTTTTTTTTTTTTTTTTAAATCTACTAAAAGCAGTCATACATCAAGCACAAACATTCAGCTGTTACTGGGATTCAGAAATTACTTTCAGAACATTATTCACAGAACAGTTCGGGTTGGAATGGGCCTCTGGAGATCATCCAGTCCAGCCCTCAGCAGCAGCAGAAGAAACAGCAGCGATTACAAGACTAACTGTAAATTGGGCTGCAGAGTATGTCCCATTTTACCTCCTGCTTCAAGCATTAATGGTACAGGAGGGGGAAGCTCGGGGCTAACACAGACCTGCTGCTGAGTGCAAAGGGGCCCGAGTGTCTCAGACAGAAGTATGTATATGCAGGTTGGGGTCAGTCTCTTCTCCCAAAAAACAAGCAGTAAGACAAGAGAAAATAGCCCCAATTTGTGCCAGGAGAGGTTCAGGTTGGATATCAGGGAAAATTTCTTCATTGGAAGGGTTGTCAAGCATTGGAAGAGGCTGCCCAGGGCAGTGGTGGAGTCCCCATCCCTGGAGACATTTAAAAGACACGTAGATGTGGCACTTGGGGACATGGGTTAGTGGCAGCCTTGGCAGTGCTGGGCTAATGGCTGGACTTCATGATCTTAAAGGTCTTTTCGAACCTAAATGTTCTATGATTTCATTATATTCATATAGAGAGAGGTGTTTCAATATAATATATATGTAATATATATATTACATACTATTTTATATAATTATATATAACAGTGTATTAATACTAAAAATATAAATGAGGAAAACTTAATACATTAAGAGAATACATACAATGTATATTATATATAATACATATGAATGTATCACATTATATTTTTATATAAAATAATATATTGTATATAAGTATATATAATATATATACAAATATATATATATTTTAAACATATTTTTACCTATCCATTTAAAGTAATAGGTCATAAATATGTTTGAAATAGTTCATATGCAAATAGGTAAAATATTTAAAATACTTAAATATGTAATTTATATATATTAAAATAGATAAGTAAAATATTTTACATATATATTAAAATACAGAAATAAAAATATTTTCTATCTAAAAATAGATGTTGAAATGCATAAAGATAATAAAAATACACAAAAGCATACATAAGTGTATAAAACTATATATAAATATGCAAAATGTATATAGATACATACATATGTACACATATATATACATGCATATACATATGCATACATATATACATATAAAAATATAAAAGCATACCTAAAAATATAAAAGCATATATAAAAATATAAAAGTATATATAAATATGTAGAAGTGTATATATACACATACATATACGCACATATATAGATACACACACACGTATATATACATATACACACATATATACACACATATATACATATATATACACATATATACATATATACACATATATATACACATATATACCTATATATACACATATATACATATATATACACATATATATACACATATATACCTATATATACACATATATACATATATATACACATATATACACATATATATACACATATATACACATATATACACATATGTATACACATATATACACATATGTATACACATATATACAAATATATATATACATATATATACAAATATATATATATACACATTATATATATACAGTATAACATATATGTATATATAACATACATTATACATAGTATACATATATAAATATATACAATATATAAGATGGCCCCAAGATATTACACACAAGAACTCATTTTAAGTGGATATTTTGCAGGAGGGACAACCCGCGCCAGCCGGGTAACCTGCTGAGCAACCAGAGGGTCCGCTGTCGGGCGCCGCGTCCCTCTCGAGCGGCCGCGGTGCCAGAGCGGGCCCGGAGCGGGCCGGGGCCGCGTCCGCTGTTCCGACACACCTGGCGGGGAGGGCGGAGAGCGGGAGCGCCCGGGGCGCCCAGCGCCGCAGGATCCCTGGGGGGACACGGAGAGACCCTCAGCACGAACTGTGACAACACACACGCACCCCCGAACCCGACACCACCCTGCACCGACACGACACCGACACCGACCCGACACCGCGCCCCGAGCCGCCGCCGGCCGCCATGGCCGCCGCTGCGCCGGGCGGGGCCGCGCCGGCGACGCCCACCGCGGCAGTGCCGGGGCTGCGGAGGGACCGCGCCGGGCTCCTCCCGCACCCAGGGCCCCGCACAGCCGCGGGGGTCTGAAGTGTCCCCAGCACACTCTCAAATTAATCGCAAGCTGTGGTGGAGGTTGACGTTGTATTGTCCTGGTCCACCCCCCCCACCTTCCCTGTTTTTAAGCCTTTTACTAAAATGTCTCGTAAAAGTCTCTACTAAAAAGTCTCGTCCACTAAAAAGTGGATTTAACTTGTTATTTCTGAACGTCACTGATGTATTCTTACATTTTTTTTTTCCGTTCTGAAATCTGGCTGGGCCCGCTGGAGGATGGGATGGAAATGGCTCCTCAGGGCTCCTCAGGAGAGAGAGTTTACGAGCTATTTGTGCGACCCGTGAAAGATTACACCTGCAAATTGTGCATAAAAGCTATATAATGTGCTGCGGTACATCTGTGTTACGTTCAGATTTCTTTCTTACTTTCTTTCTTTTGGGAAGTTTCTTTTTTTCTGTTATAACGCAGAAAATAAAGCCGTCTGGACACAATCCTGTGCAATGTGCTCTGGGATGACCCTGCGCGAGCAGGGAAGTGGGGCCAGGTGGCTCACTGTGGTCCCTTTCCATCCTGACTCATCCTGTGGTTCTGCGATTTTTAATTTTTTATTTTTATTTCACTCTGTCCCTCAAGGAGACGGTCCCAGGAGCGCCCGAATCCGGCGCGCGCACCGCCCCACCCCACCTCGCGCGACGGCGTCTCGCGACCCCTTCCCCGCGCTCCGATTGGCGGCGCGTGGCTCGTCACGCGGGAGCGCTCGCGCAGGCGCGGTGCGCTCTGAGGGGCGGGGCAGGGAGGGGGGGCGGAGGCGGCGCCGGCAGGACCCGCGCACGGCGCCTTCCCCGTGGGGCCGCGGCCGGCCGGCCGCTCCGAGTCATGCTGCGGGCCTGCCGCCGGGCGGGGCTCGCCGTGGCCAAGCAGGTGAGCGTTCGGCGGCGGGAGCCCGCGAGCCGCCCCCCACTTGTCACCGCTGAGCGCCGCGCCTGGCCTGCGGAGCGGGTTGGGGTGGGGTGGGAGTGTGGGGGGTTCTGTGACCGCGGCGCGCCGCGCGCTGAATGACTCGGCACACGCGTGCTCCGATAGGCTGCGCGGGCTTTTGACTGGCGCGGCCGCGACCGCCAATGGGCGGGCGGGGTGGGGTTGGTGGGTTGGGCGCGGACTGCGAGTCACGGCGTGCCTTGCAGGCCCCGCGCCGTTCCGTTACAGCGCTGCCCCGCCGTGGTGCGCGCCGGGACTCGTAGTCTGCGACGGGGGCTGCGGGGGGCGCCGCGGCTTGCACGCCGGGAGCTGTAGTCCCCGCCGCCATGGCCGCGCCGGGCCCGCCGCCCCGCTCCGCCGGCCGGACTGGGGTTAGCACCGGGGCCCGCGGGCAGGGCCTCGGGGGCGGCGGAGGCTCGGCGGGGCGCGCACGGACCACTGGCTCCGCGGGGCGGGGGTGGCGGGCGCGCTCCTCCGCGGGGAAGGACGGTGACCTTGCGTTCCCTGGCGCGGCCTCCCGCCCGCACACGGCGACACCGCAGGGTCGGGGCCGGCTCGGGAGCTCCTGTGCCCGGGGCGGGGAATGAGTAATTTGAGCGCTCGGGTGTGAGGGCATCCTTCTGAGCTCACGGTGGGACACCGGGAGGGCACAGCACGCCGGGGGGAAAGTGCCCGTGGGACCCGTGCGTTGTGTCCCGGACCTTTGCCTCTCCTTATCAGCAGAGATAAGGATGGTGATGTGCTGCAGAGCCCTTCTTAAAGCAGTCGGCCAACTTTAGGAAGCCACGGGGGTCTGTGGCGAGGGTGACTCCTCTAGCAAGGCCACAACTTTTGTTTCAGCTGTCTTCATGACTAATAAAAAGTGAGCTGATCAGATCATTTTTATTCCCTGCTCTCCATCTCATATTCTTTAGCCTCTATTCACGCCATTCAGCAAAGGAGAAGCTGTGCATACTCCCCTCCAGCACTGCAGCTGCCTTTCCTCTGCTGCTCCATAAGGCTGGAGAGTCCTCGGGCCAGGTCACCTGATGCCCACTGGAATAAGGCTCTGGGTTTGCCGGGCTGTGGAAAGTTTTAGCTGGGAGTTGAGAAGACAGAAACCAGGCTTTGGCAGATGTTTATCACTTGGGGCTATTTGCATGTGCTCAGCCTTTAACAGGATCTGGAACAGCCAGAGTGGTGCTTTGTGGCTGGAAGTGGGTCATCGGGCTATGAGTGAGAGGTGGAAGAATCACAGAATGGTTTGGCTTGGAAGGGCCATTAAAGATCATCTTGTTCCACACCCCCTTGCCACGGGCAGGGACACCTTCCACTATCCCAGGTTGCTCCAAGCCCCATCCAGCCTGGCCTTGGACACTTCCAGGGATGGGGCAGCCACAGCTTTTCTGGGCAACCTGTGCCAGGGCCTCACCACCCTCACAGGGAAGAATTTCTTCCAGAGAACTGTGCAAACACAGAGATGCCACAGCACTCCGTGAAGTTTGTTATCTATACCTTTACTGATTGTTTCCTTACTTAAAAAACCCCAACTTTTCTTTTATCCCTGCTTATATTTCTTGATGAGATCAAGTACAATGGAAGTCTAGTTTGGACAGAGAAAGTGGGCATGCAGTGACATAATTTTTATACATTTTTGCTTTTTTTTATTCATGTTGAAGGGAAGTTTTGTTCCATACTGTAGCACATGCACATGGAGACTGTTTCAGGTCCTGCAGACTTTCTGCAACTAAAACTTGTTTCTTTTTGGGTAGCAAAAAGAGACAGAAACTGGAAATTAGAAACCAGTGTTTAATTATAGTGCTTGTGTTGCAAGAGGTGCAGAGCTGGGGACTCTAATCAAGAAGGGCTTGCCTGATCTGAGATGGTAATAGGTAGATTTTTCACAGAAGTGAAAACTCCTGTCACGGAAATAAGACCCTCTGGCTGTTGGCATCTCTGTTATATAGAAGCTGACAGTGAGGCAGGTCTGCCTGTCTTTTGGGATGTTCAGATACTTTTTTACAGGTTAAAAAACCCAGTTGTCTGAGGACAGCTGGACCTGGTCAGGACTTTGGGGTAACAGGACCCTGATGATCCTCGGTGTCTTGAGCAGCCTTAGAGAGCCTGGAAGCAGAGTGTGGCTGGATGGGAGTAGCAAAGCAGCTGCTGCTCCCCAAAGCCAGAGCAGCATGAGGGTATAAGTATGAAAAATCCCAGTAGAGAACTCATGGTGGAGAGTGGGAAAACTTCTCTCTTACTGTGAGCTCTGTGTGTCAAGGATCACTAAGCTTGTTAACAAGTAAATTTAAGTTGTGGCTTTGAGAGAAGTTGTTCTTCATACCTTGATTTCCTAAATGTTTGATGCTACGTGTGCAGTGCTGCAGAGGGAGTCTTCTCTTATTTGAAGTATTTTTGTAGTTCTATTTAAAAGGAAACAGAGCTTTTAGTAAAAGTGTGTGATATATAGCAGAAGTCTTGAATGATGGGAGATCAGAGTTCTGTGGTCAGATGTCCTTGTTACACCTGACCTCTGTCATAACAAAAACAAACTTCCTCTGAAGTTTCTGGTTTGGTGATTAAATAGTAGATAATGAGTGTAAAATAATAATCATTTAAGAAGTTGGGTGAAACAAATACAATGTAGGACTGCTGGAGGAGGAGGAAGGAATGGAAACAACTGCCCCTGCAGTGCCCTTGATGTGGGGATCTGTGCTGTCTCTGTGCTGCCTCATCCAAAGGGTTTTCTCTGTCTTCTGCATGACAGCAAATGGTTTATTTCTTCCTTTTACACAGCATAGCAAAGCATGTGTGATGTATTTCCTCCAAATCTTTTGAGGCATTATTACTAAATAAATAACAGTGTTGTAAAAAATGACAAACTCCTGGGAATTATGCAAAGGGGAGATTAGAAACTACCTACAAGTTTCCGAGTTATGGTGATACAGCAAATAAAACCAATATTATTATGATGGCCAAAAGGGAGCAAGGCTTCTTTAAAAAAATTATTTTTAAAAAATCAGGGATTTTTTGAGGCAGTGCTGTACTTGGATGTATTTGGATGTGAGGGAAGACAATCAAACTTGTGTTCTTCTTCATAAAACCAATACCTACAGACTTTTGGTTGTTGTTGCACTGGCCAGCTGTGGGAATTTGTTGCAAAATCTTGAAAGAAAGTTGATGGGGGCTTGGTTTGGGTTTAGTTGTCACTGCCATTGCTACACGTGTGAGAGTCCAATGCCATACATTGAGGGCCTATGTTTTAGTTCCTCTCCTCTTGACAAAAAACAAATAAAAATGAGGGTTTGTCTAATCCTAGAACAGCCCAGCTTAGAAGGGACCTCAAAAGGTCATCTGGTCCAAAGAGCATCTGGACTAAAATCAATAATCCCACTGAAAAAACCCTCCTGATGTGCAAAGAGTAAATGCTGAGCTACGAGAAGCAAATGTTCTCCTGGCTCCCTGAGCACAGCCCGGTCCCAGGAGCAGGAACAGATGTGTTTACTGAGGGTGTAGAACTAAGTGTTGTTTGCCATCACTCAGTGTGAGTAGGGGTTTAGCCAACATGGACATGGCTGAGCTGGCCCAGGCACCAGGGTTGTGCTTGTGGGAGCCTCCAGGATCACCAAGAAGGCAGGTACAGCCTGAGCAGGGAGGTGGGAGTGACAGTGGTGCAGGGTGGGATAACCTCCAGAAAGGGAGTGATGGCTTATTTCCAGGTGAGCACTAGGCAAAATTGGGTAATCCAAAAGTGTTGGAAGGGACTGGAAATTCAGTCTGAACTGATTAATAGAAAATCACTTTATTTTTCCCTTCTCATTTCACTGGGTTGAGCTGTATGCATGATGCTGAAATACTCATGGTGAAATAGGGACGTACTGAGAGTCAGCAGCGTGTTCAGCAGTTGATAACAAAATTATTTACAGGGCTTTTCTTGGTGAAATTCCCCTTGAAAGTACC